CCAATCGAGAATTTGTGGAAAGAACTGAAAACTGCTGTTCACAAACGCTCTCCATCCAACCTCACTGAGCTCGAGCTGTTTTGCAAGGAGGCATGGGCAAAAATTTCAGTCTCTCGATGTGCAAAACTGATAGAGACATACCCCAAGCGACTTACAGCTGTAATCGCAGCAAAAGGTGGCGCTACAAAGTATTAACATAAGGGGGCTGAATAATTTTGCACGCCCAATTTTTCAGTTTTTTATTTGTTAAAAAAGTTTGAAATATCCAATAAATTTTGTTCCACTTCATGATTATGTCCCACTTGTTGTTGATTCTTCACAAAAAATTACAGTTTTATATCTTTATGTTTGAAGCCTGAAATGTGGCAAAAGGTCGCAAAGTTCAAGGGGGCCGAATACTTTCGCAAGGCACTGTATGTTAGTGCAAAATTCAATTTTTTAAACCTCTTAGTTCATGCTTCAAAACTGTTCTAGAGTAAATTCATTTACTTGGACTCACTGTGCTTTGTCTGTCATCAATAAAACATTAACATAATTCAGTTATGAATGAACTGAAAGACAAAGTTGAGCAGCGAACCTGGTGCCTTTAGGTAGTTGTAAGGTGGTAACCGTTTTGGTGGTGAGGTTGAATCGACAAACAGCATCTTGGTTGTAACAGTTGTAGTACAGGGCCTCTCCATACATAACCACATTAGGACCCTGGATAGTGTTGGTGGTTGGGTTAGTGGAGTGGATCTGGACATTACCTGGAACAAGAAGAAGAAGAGGAGGAGGAGTGGATATACAGTAACCATTAGTAGTGTAAATATTAAAGGTAGTAATAAGGAGCATTTTTAGGTGCCTTGCAATGCCATAAAAAGACTGAAACTAACAATGAATTGATCTGGATAAATAACTATTACACTGGCCTATGACCAAAATGCTTTTGAGACAAAAATAATGACTCTTTGCTAATTCTGGGCCACTGAAAACAAAAATGATATCTAAAATTGTTGACTGACTCTGGTTTGTAAAATATGGCACTGGCAATGTGTGAATTTTGCTTGTAAATGGTCAAACTGTCAAATTACAGAAGGAAGTTATAACCAAAACTCTTGGTGGATCTGATGACAAATCAATTTGTGGTGAAACATTAGACTTGAGTTGTGCCTCAGGCAGTACAAGCCAGACATTTTGTTTAACTAAGGCAGATATTACATTCATACTTCAGCTCAAGACATTAAGGCCTTTGTTGTATGCATTTTTTCTTCCTTAAAGTTAAAAGGTATCATTATCCAGCATAAAACATGATTGACTAAATATCTTAAACACTGTAATAAAGGCTATCAAAGGCCATATTTGATTTCAGCACTTCAAAATCCATAAAAATTTGCACAATTCAGTTCAAAAGCAGAAAATGTTCTTAAAATTGGAGACCAGTGATATTTGTGCGCCAAAGCCTGAAACCTAATATACTTCCTCATTCCGGTGTGCCACAGAACTCTGTTGTTGTCCAAAAACTACTAAAAATGTCACATTCCTTCATAGATTAAAAAATTCTCAAAATTGACAAACCAAACAGAAGTAATGGTACCTGTAATATAACAATCAAGGCTGACAATTTTTTCAATTTTATGTTTAATTGTGCTGATATAAAAAGGTAAGCTTGTTTGGACGAATGAAACACATAAAAGCAATTCCAGTATTTCTTTCACCATCAGTATTACAGTGAACAAGAGGATGAAACACTGGCATTTATGGCATGCACGTGAAAATCTCATTTATGTCTCTGCCCATGGCAGTGAGGTCGACTGAGTGCTCTAGGTTTTTTCGCTCTCCTCTCGTCCTCTCTCCCATTCACTGACTGAAGCAGATGCCAAGAGGGGCATTCCTATGGCTGGCAAACAAGACTGCTCCCTCACTAGCAGTCCTAGCAACTGCTGTGGTGTTTGTTGTTCTTTTCATGTTGACAGATCTCTACAGCTAATGTCAGGACAGTAGCTATTATCAGCTAGTAACCCTAACAGGGTTGTTGTTTTCACCAGTGAGTAAAAGCCAGTTCAATATTTACTCTTGTCATGTCTCTTGTGCTCTCTTTTTCACTTCTTCTTGGCTGTTGCTGGGATCTGCTGATGCTCAAGTTCTGGGTATGTGTTGTGTGGAGCACATTTTTACATACATTGACTGGACAGATCATAGCCATAAATACACTAAATAAACACTAAAAACAGACTGGTCTGAAAACCAGTCAGTATCTGGTGTGACCACCATTTGCCTCACGCAGCGCAGCACATCTCCTTCGCATAGAGTTGATCAGGTGTTGATTGTGGCCTGTGGAATGTTGGTCCACTCCTCTTCAATGGCTGTGTGAAGTTGCTGGATATTGGCAGGAACTGTAACACGCTGTCGTGTACGCCGGTCCAGAGCATCCCAAACATTTAGAATTTTGTTCAGTGTACATATGTCTATGGGACAGATGTCTTCTGAATATTTGCTGTACTATATATTGCAACGTGTGTTTTAGTCGACGTCCTGTTGCACAGCTTGTTCACAATCACTGTAGACAATTGTAGTAAGTCTGAAATTTAGGTCCAAACTCTTGAGGATGGGAGGACACAGTACTCTGAATGTGCAACTGGAACACCAGTGACCTTGCTGACAGCTCTGCGCTGAATGAGATGCATCTGCCTGCTAAGGAGAGTTATCTTGGTCTGTTGGCAGGTCTTCCCAGCTCTGAAAACATCAGAGCAAATTTCTACATCGACATTACTTGTGTAGGGGTCCTACAAATTCTGTTGCGCAAAGACTTTTATTAGACTTTTATTTTGAAATGGTTCATGGATATTGTGCTGTCTTCCGGTGGTGCCGTGTGTGTGAAAACACGGGCAGAGAGAGAAGGGAGGAAGAAGCTGCGACGAGCTTACGGAGAGCGGGCTAAGTTCGGTAACTTTTGTTATTGTAACAAGTTATGAGTAGACCAATAACCCGCCTTAGAGTTGCATGACGCTGCTGCTAGGTCTCCGTTTGTGCTAACGAACGTGTCGTCTATAGGGAAGTGTAGAGTTTTGCCGCGCTAGCGCGTGTAAGGATAGGCTGCAGGCCTGTGATAGCTTATAGAGTTTCGGGAGTTAATTCTCTGTGTTTTTTTCGTGCTTTGCACCAAGAACATTGTTTTGCTAGTTCACACGAACTCCAAACCGGGTGCATGCCGAAATTCATATTTTCTTTTTGGAAGATTGGCTGGTTCGTTGGATGGGATTGAGTGTAGCTAGCGCTTCTACGCGGATCACCGTGGGACAGGATTGTGGCCTCGTCGGACCAAGCTGTGGTTTGCAGGATCACGGGGCAATCGTTGGAGGGTCATAGAGTGAGGTGACATAACCCTGCATACCCGGACATCCTCCAGCACTCCATCCATCTCCCAAGTGTGGTGATGTACACTGTTTCCATCCTTTTACGCGGAATGTTGGTAAGCAAGTGAGCTTTTCTTTTCAACTAGAATACAGGTTGGACTGTGCTAAAGACTCTCTTGAGTGGAGCTGTGGATATTGTTACCAAGTGAGTCATATTTCACGCTTTGGAGTATCACCGTACGAGATTGGATTGAA